TCCTGTTAAAAGCGCTACTGCGAATGCAGCGCGCTTGTTCGAAACAAAGTTCCGACAGCTGTCGTTTCAATAGACTGCAAGATACAGTTAACAGAGCAAGCATTTTAAATGTTGACAAAGACGTTAGTTCTTGTACAGCGTCGAGCCTAATATCGTTTGTGACCTAGAACTGCATAACAACGGTATATTTGAACTTTGAAGTGAACATGAACTCCCAGAAGCGCGTTGAAGTTACAAAGTAAATTGAATTGTAATCCGAGCGGCGCCGGCGTAGGCAGATGAGAAGTTAATCCGAGGACGCCTAACGCAATTATGATATGTTAATTTCCCTTTGTTATTGCTTCGCCCCATCGCTAATGGCGTTACGAAATGTTTGCCCAATACCACCGATAAAGCCATTGTTATACAGTTTTTGTTTCATGTCTTGCAACCTGCTTGTTCCAGTTTTCCCTTTTGCCCGGCGCTCCCTGAATGGCAGTGGGTTGAAAGGGGACACATGTCACTATCGACGGGGCTATACATCCCCTGAATACGAAATTACCCGGGTCAGTGGTAACAGGCGAGTTCGGGAACACTGCTTGTTTGCGCCGAACCCCTAGAGCCCACTCGTACTTTGGAGCAACGACCGCGTACCGACCATTTACGGCTTATCATATAACGAGTATTCTTTGTTTTCTCAATTTTTTATTAGCTGCACTTCAAATACTCTATTCAAATAAAGCCAGAAAAAGGTTATTGGTATTTACTTATTCAAAAAAACGCGTTTCTTTGAGTGTTAATTAAAAATTCAATTAAGATCCGACACCCACTTCTATGTTCAGTGTTAATTATGTAGCATTAAACACTGAGATATTACTGCGTCAGTGTAAACATAAATCGTACGTAAAATTTAGCAATTGTCGTAAATTACTCTTAAAACACAAATGCTAGTAAAATTGTAACGGGCAGCTTTTAGTTGTCTGACATTAACGAATACGTAAACGTTCTTACAATAAATGAGTTTCAAACTTGGCAAAATTAATTGTGCGCAATGTCGTGCATCTCTGTCTTGTGTTTTCTACAAACATACATTCGGTAAACGTTAGGAATAAGATAGATAAACGCAAAATAATAAGTACATTATACAACAATACTCTAGTTGACCAGTGGGTGCTCACTCTTGAAACCAATCTCAATGTCGTCGCTATCTCAATCTAATAAAATCTCAATAATTATTCAATGTCAAAACTGCAATAGCATTCAGAATACGGAATATAAAGCCTAACTCAATACTATTTAATTGATTAAATATCCCCGTAATACGGATGTTATGAGCGCTAGTGTTGTAACTCAAGAGTACGTAATTTTACAGTACGTACCAATGTCGATCGATCGGAATTGGATTCAAGAGTAAGCCCCCAGTTATGAGTATCTTATAACCAATTATAAATACTGTAATTATCATAATTAGTAATCAACACTGAATATCAAACATCCAGAAACGCAATGACCAATCCTGGCGGTATTGGACATGAAATATCTTGTTCAACAAGTCTATTTGGTTTTGATGGTGTTTAGTAATAGCAGAAATAACACCAATGTAAAATTACTGGTCCATTTTCATTCCAACACTCACTCGAGATAAAAATACGAATACATCACAGCGTCGTATATTGACATCGTCTCCACGCTTCAGTGACTTGCTATCTAAAATTAAAAGATCGTTTAATATGTCTCTTAAATCAATACCTAACGCCTACGCTTTTAAAGGTCACTACCGCGTAATTCAATTGACAAGATATTAAGTGATATGACGTTTTCTACATCACACAACGTTATAGAGTACTAGCTTTTACCCGCGGCTTCGCTCGCGTCACAAAAGAATAAAAAGTAGCCTATGTGATATATACCAATACACACAGCGCCATCTAAACCAATACTTTTGTTTTTCCTCGGGAATATCAATTTTTCCGGGTTAAAAAGTACCCTATTATTTAATCCGGACTTCTAACTTTACGTCTGCAAAAATTCAAAGCAATCGGTTGAGTAGTTACGGCGTGAAGGTGGAACAAACAAACAAACAAACTCACTTTCAGATTTATAATATTAGTAATAGAGTATAGATTTCAAGAAGAAATAGACATAGGGAAGAAAGGGACTACTTTTAAATATTTTATGTTTATGTCTTTAATCTAAGACAGTCCTCTCACGCACACGCACACGCACTACTTACAGGTGAACGTAGATTAAGGTATAACGAAATTAATGTCTGCCTTGTTGGCCGAGTGGTCGCAAGTGCGACTGCCGGGCAAGGGGTCTCGGGTTCGGTTGCCGCTAAGTATTATTGGGTGTTAAAAATAATCTCAGTAGTAGCACGGAGTCTGGAATTGTGCCCGGTATATGGCAATAAGCTTACCCCCTATTACATGGGACTCATAACATAAATAGTGAAAAGTGGGTGTTACATTGTACAGTGGTATTATGTGCACCTCTACCTACCCCTTCGGGGATAAAAGACGCCTTTTACTAGATGTTATGTTATGTTATGAAATTAATGTAAACCCCAAAAAAGTCTAGTAAAATTTAGACCAAATCGTAAAAGAAATACCTACTACATCTGCTTGAAATAGTCTACACTAGAATCCGACACTAGTACAGTCCATGGCAACATCTCGGCTTCATCAAATCGCAATAAATGTTGTAGCATGTAAATTGTGCAGTAACGTTTGCTGTGGCGCGGATGCAAGGCGGCCATTGTCAACAAATTGTATGTTTGTCTTCTGTATCAGCCGGCGGCCGGCCGACACGGCTGCAGAGATTGCGATAATATCGTCACTTGTTTATTTTCCCTCTCATATCGACCTCCCCATACATAGCATGCATATGCATATGTGAAGTGGACTCACGTAAACGGAACACTATTTATAGCGTACACTAGCTTTTATCCGCGACTTCGTCACAAAAGGAAAAAAGTAGTCTGTGACATAATAACATACTAATACACACAGCGCCATCTATACCAATACTTTTGTTTTTCTCGGTTTAGTAGTTACGGCGTGAAAGCAGAACAAACAAACAAACTCACTTTCCGATTTATAATATTAGTAAGGATAAGGATTTTGCGAACGGGACTATCCCAATGAGCTCGTTAATTGTTGCCCGCCAGTAAATACGCACCATTGACAGAGATCATGCAGACATTGCAGCTATTTGCGTGTATCCACAAACGAGGAATAAAATTTAGGCCAAGACCAGTACAAATACATACAGTTTCAAAGACGGACGAATTTAACCGTGGATGTGCTGTTGACAAATATTTCTGTTTGACATTTCAGTTCCCAGCACTGTCTATCAATCTCATTTCTGTTTACATCAAACATAGTTTTTTTAGGAATGCGAATATAAATTTCAATATAACATTTCTTTGTGTCATTTGAATGGCAGAAGACGCAATTCAATGTATAATTTGGATGAAAAAGCAGCAATTCGAAACGATACGCATTTACACTTGACAGAGCATGTCCTTCGATTTGGAATCTTGATCATAAAAGATATTTATTATTCTACGTGCTTCTAGGTACCTAATGTCGACAGAGTTTGACGTAGATTTAGGAACGTGAGAAATCTAAACTCGTGAGTTTGGCGCATCAATGTAAATTAGAAACAAGTAGAACTTTCCGTTGACATGGAATCCTGCTCCATTTCTTGGAAAATTGGCACAATGGCAATGTTACTAGATTATATCATTCACAGTCGCGTCACAGTTTCGGTTATTCATGGGCTCGAGGAGGCGGATATGTCCTTTCGATAATGTACAGATGACAGCAGTAAACGTGACGCGTGTCTGAAACACTACCCGCGCTGAATACAGATAGCTGTGTCTGTTCAGCTCAAGCCTTGCGGCCTGCGGTCTGACCGCGGGTGTTGATTGCTTGCCTCTTATTATCACTCCGAGGTCTACTCATGTAAACAGTTATAATGGACGTAATCCCCGACACAAACAGATAAACATCTCATTCGACAACACTACTTCACCCTTCAAATGCAATAGTACACTAATAATACTCTTGTCCTTTGATCTAAAATTAACCTCACATAAAAACAAATTAGTCGTATCTAAAAATTAAAACAGTTATTAATACAAGTCTAAATGCAGGCCACTTGAGCGCCAAATTATTTCTGGAAGCGTATGAAATTGAAATAGTTTCTTAAAAATGTCTGGAGACGTTCATCTTGCAAAATTAGCTAGAGTCGAGGGGGGCCGGTGTGAGACGTGCGAGTGCAACATTCCAGGGCCTGGTGACCTTCACGCACGAGGGAGGGCCACCCAGGATGTCGTCGGGGGCCATGATCACAAAGAGTATATTTAGCTGTCTCCTTTGATGAGGCAATGCGCAGATAAGCGCGTATCGCGACATGCTCCGATGCTCATGCCCTCGTACAGCCAACACGAGCATACAGACCTACCTTATTAATTAAAAATAAATCATTAAATATTCTATGAGATGACACGAGAGCGTCCCCTAGGCCTTCGACCTACTTTTAAATAAATAAACGTGACCCTATCAGCACGTGCTATAAAAATATGCAGTGTTTCTTCAACATTGATTGACCTAATTTTGTTTGAGATATCAATCACTTAACTTCATGTTTCAATAAAGATTTATTTAGTATGTTTTTCACGGACAGTAAGCTAGGAACGGCTGCTGAAATGACCAATTAAATTTTATTGTTGTACGGTGGCCGTAAATTGGCAAGTCAAGGTGGCGGAGTATTTGTTTGTCGTGGGCGCGGGTCGTTGAGACTACTTGAGACTATTTTTGGGTCAGTTTTGTAGATGTCACTGCTTTTTTGGACAAAACTAAGTGAATATTGCGTCAGCATAGCTTCCGATTCTATGAGTGAAACGAAGCACGTTTGCCACAACAAATACATACCTAACAAAGTCTTTACATACCAGATTCGCATCATCACATTTAATTTAAAGACATACATATTAGAAGAAAGATAATGGGACTTACGCGATAGCATCGATCATGTCGAGCCCCATCTCTACAGTACACCTTCCATGGTCTGATCGAGGTTCAGGCAGTCCGGACACGCAGTAGTAGCAGTCGCCGAGAATCTTGATTCGGAGACAGTGGTTATCCTGTACATCGAATAAATAAAATAATATTTTCTGTGTGAATCTACCTATCTATAATCTATCAAAAATGACGTTAAACAGTTTTCAGACATATTCTTGTGTTTAACATACTCGTAGCAATTTAAAATTAATCCAATTTAATTTGTAAAGTGATCATACACATACGAATCGGAATGTCAATAGTTTATTAACATCAGAAAAAACCCTAAACATAGCCATAAAACAATCGGATACACCTATGACATAAACAATTTAAACAACAACATTATTGTGTAAACAAAAACAAATTATGACGTAAAACAAAAGAACCGATGGTTATTCAAAGGGAATTCCTAAGCAATGAATATTAATTCCAATAGGTATGTCAAGTATTCAAAAATATTTCTGTGAATTAGTATAGTAAACAACTTTGTTTCCCGTAATTATGGTTTTATTCATACACATTCATTGGCAAATCGTCACAGAGGCACCTATAGCATGGCCGACTGTCGACTGCAAGAATAGTGCCTAACGATAGGTTTACCTCAAATTGTGCTCGAAATTGTGAGGCATCTCCTCTTTGCGGAATAAACGCCATTATAGCTTTTTATGGGATAAGGTAAACGAGCAGACAGATCACTTGATGTTAAGCGATCAGCGCCGCCTATCAACACCAGCAGCTGTAGCCAAATGCCATTTAGCGCTTGTCTACTTGTAGAATAGAAAACCAAATTATATGGAATTGACGTAAATTTTACAATACATTTAGTTTTCTACTCTCTCTGTAGACAAGCGCTAAAGTGGCGTTTGGCTAAAGGTCCAGAAGAGATACGGCTGTAACACAGGGACATTAAAGGTCTTTAAAAAAAGTGGATGAAATACTTCAAATGTTCGAGAAAACCGTTCTTGAAGGTTTGAAGGTTGTATCGAAATACTGCAGGAGACCGTACATTCCAAAGATTGGTTTAGCAATTTCTAATATACTGTGTTACTCACATTGGCGAGTTGATCGAATCGTCCAAATAGTTCGTTGAGTAGCCGCACCAACTCCTGGGCGCTGCACTGCGACGCGAGCACGGTAAAGCCCACTATATCGGCGAACAGGATACTATGGACAAAAATAATTATAATTCAATAAAAGGAAAAACTATTAGCGATCTTAAACCAATTATACGGAAAAATATGAGGTCCTTATTTCTAAGTAGAGAGGGAAGAACATACATAATAATTCTAGAAATATTTCGTCAGTAAAAATAAAGTACTTGATCCTTGTGTTGTCTCAATACATATACATATTAAATTTTTCTTACTATCGGGTTCATTTAAAAAAAATGCTCTTGACACATTCAAATTATGACGTCACAATGTGCATTTCGACGTAAGTCACAGAAAAGACCTTTTAGATTGAAAATTCTAAGTTGAGTGAAAAACGCTCCTACAAGAACTATTAAATATTACTATGTTGTTTAAAAATCTTACTCAAAACAGTTCATAAACTTACTGCTTAAATATCGATACACCTATAGATACATAACTAGAACATTATAGAGAGCCGACAAGACAGGAGGAACGACAACTTTCCAGTTATTAGTTTAAATTAAAACTCAGAAACGGGGCTGGCAACATATTGCAGATTTAATCAAATTAACTTGTTTCTACTTTTGTATCACACTTTAATTCAGCTCCTGTTGCCTTGTTGGTAGCTCTCAATTAAGAAAACTTCGCAACATTCTCGCTCACTTATTTATCTACTTTTACAAAGCAAAAACTGCTTATAAACAAGACGAAAGAAATAAATTACTAATCAAGACATCAACGCAAAAAATAAAAATAAAATGTTCTAAAGAGTTTTTCTTAATTTTGAGATTTTAGTCGAATTTGATATGAGACAATTCGAATCTTGAAGTAGTCAGTTCCTTGTGACATGGAGAAGTTGAAGGACTTTATTGTCAAACTATCTATATGTAGACAGTTACATAAGTTATACCCTATTCTTTTTTTTTAAATGGGACAAGCCCCCCACAGCCTCCCAAAACTGCTGCAACTCCTGTAAGCCAGGATCTACAGTAGATAGAACCATGAAAACACCGGAACATTGAAGTCCGGCGCGTCTCAGGGACATCAGTAACTGTCTTGGTTCCCGTAACGAAGTGAATCAGAAGAAAAAACTATAGTTTCCACTTCCCTCGGTGAATTACTGCAGGAGACAGAATGAATTAAGCCTAAAGGCACAAAGAAGAGACTGTACAACTGGGTGAAGCCCAGTCGCCAAGCACCACGGTAATTTACTAAAAAACTAAGTGGGACCTAACCTATATAGTTTGTTAAAGACGTACATTGGTGACCAGTACCGCCTTTACCATAAGAGCACTCGGGGCCCGTGCCCAAGGCCTCCATCCTCAGAGGGTCCCGAAAAACCGACAATTTCTATGACGGACACTCACCCACTACAAGGTGCGCGACAACTGGCTGCCCCGCATAGCGGGTTCAATGACGGAACAAATCTTTGTGTGCTCCACAAATTGTTGCATCGGGTGTAGGTGTCATGTGTATATGAAATTGTATATTTGCAGATGCAACCACGATACAGGAAAAAATCTTAGTATGGGGCAACGTTAAAAAAAACCAAAAAAGCTATCTAAAAGGGCCCCGAATTTATTGTGTGCCTAAGGGCCCCGGCGAAGTCTAAGATGGCCCTGTCGCTGACCGTGACCTCAATTACGAATAGAAAGAAGAGAGGAAGGTTATAACTCCTAAAGAATGACTAACCACAGATTACTAATACATACATTACGCTACGTGCATGTATCACCGTACATTTATTTACATAAGCTTATCACGTTTATTAACTCTAATTCTAAGAAAAATATAAAGAATTTACTTGATACACAACTTTGTAGATGAATAGGATAGTGGTACAAACAGTCGAAGTTCCCATTATCCTAAATTATCGCGTGTAAACAGCCTGTATAACGATGTTTATGCGCCCCCTGTATATAGGAGCATTGTACACAATGTGATAGACGTTTATGACATGTTTTTCACTCATTTTTTGTATTATTCATGTTTTGTTGTTGTTGCGTGTGGAACATGGCAACACGTAGTTAGAATGAGATTGCAAAGATAAGTTACTGAGGTAGTTGTATGTTTTTTTTATATGTGGTCGAGTAGGCGTAACAGAAAGAAAGTTTTATAAGGTTTTTTTTTATATCAAAATTCTCGGTATGGTTTAGAATTGTGGACAACAATAGTAGTTGGCATAATGGTAGATGGATTAAAAACGCATTTCAGCACATCTCTTCAGCATTTTAAAAACAGTAGGTATGCCATGTAAAACTATAATATTTGTCTAAAAATTAATTAAAAATGAATATACTGAGAAAAGCTCTAATATTTTCGAGTCGCAGAGGGGGTTCTCACCCATGAGCAGGGTGCGCGGTCGCAGTCAGTATATTCACGTTAGTAACCCGCGATTTTTAGTTAATTAAATATGTCTCACGATAGTTAAATAAACAATTGTCTCAAAATCACAATAGTTTAAAAGCGGTAAACACATTTTTGTTCACCGCCTGTTTTATTTTTCATTAGTACTTAAAATTATTAAGAGTTACATAATACTAGAAGGGTATTGCCGGTAAGCCCACCAAAGATAAAACCGTAAGAAAATCCTAGTAAAACGTACCGAAGTCTGGTTGAAAGCAATAATCAAGTGCTGAGGTAGCAAAAGTAATAACTACGTCCTTTCAGACCCCTTCCTGATCACAGCTCGGCCATGAGCAAAGACAAAGGTGTCGGATATCCGATATCAGATACTTTAGAGGTATAGTAGGACAGCACTCACTATAAGGATATCTAAGTTTTTTGCTGATACTGGCTGGTTTTACTTCAATATCGTGTTTTTTTTTCAGTAAAAGGTTTTCTAAATAATATTGAAAATTTTGATTTCGTATTCTGAACACCTCTTAGTCTTCAGTTTCTATGTGTTGCAATAAACAAAAATGATTTGTTTGTATGTAAAACTGTAAAGATAATAACGAACACTTATTTAGCAAACCTCACGAAATCGTACATTTATAATTATTTACGTATTTGAATGCAGAATATTGTGTAAAGAATAATGTATGATGTAGATTTAAAGAAGTATCTAAAATACTAGATAGACAAGTTGAGAAGACTATAGACTTTTTCCATTGCACACTGAAAAATATAAATAAACTTTCAGAAGCAATAAACGATAATAGCCCTCTCTTCATTGACGGTACACGTGACACATCAGGATATGAAGGACCAGTATAAACTGACCCTTGAATGTACGGTATGATCATACAAAGCGGGGCCATATTAGTATGATTATGTATAGCTTAATGTGTTCCCGTGTGCACCAACGAAGAGCTCGTACACAAAACTGCGATGCAACGTCGCATTGAATAATTGTGCGAGCTGAATCTACGCATCGCAAGAACTTGCGAATTGATTCACATCGAACATCAAAATCTTATTATACCAAAATTTTCTTTGTTTCTATTTCCTATATCTCCTAAGCAATAACAAATGTCAGAAAGAAAGAAAGAAAGAAAGAAAATACATTTATTCAGCACCAGGCACGATGCAGCATAAGTAACGACATAATTTTCAATTTAAAATACGTTTAGTGCGGTCGACGGTCGTCGAAGAAATGGTCATCCTGGGAGACGCGTTGTCGCACGAAATCGCATCGCAGCTATTAGTGTCGCAATTTTCCGCGTTGAGAATTCGCATTGCATCGCATCTCAGTTTTGTGTACGAGCCTTACTACCTCGTGAGCCTGTACCCCATTAAAAAACAAAAGGCACTCGGAAGTGTCTCCCGCATATGAGCACTATAACATTAATAAACCATGTAACATTTGGAACTCACTCCTCGATATTTTTTCAGTAAAATATTTACGCTATCTGCTTGTTTGTTTATTTTCAATTCATCATATTTTACGCGGATAGCTTTTTGCACAAACAAATCATTGATAGACAATTATTCAGTGTTTTCGAGCCATGAGTTAGCAGGGTCAGTGACCTTATTTTTATTTTATTTATAACATCATGTGAAAAGTCGCATTGATTCGTGGCAGGTTCCTAATCCGTAAACTCATCCTCGAGATACTGGCAAATCATCAGCCCCATTGTGGTAATTAAATAACTAATAGGACCTTTAAATCAAACATTGTAATACCTACGTCAGCCAACCCATTCCACCACGTGCAAGCGGCCATTAATATCTTAATTGAACACCACTATTTTGGAAGGTAAACATGACAGTTGTCAAAATAGAGCTGAGCTCATTGCGATTACAATGGATTTCCGATTGTGGCTCGCGCCGATACATTATGCAACCTAGTGTTTTTCAATGGGAACTCGCCAACTCGCTTCAGTGACGTGAAACGAACATGTTTTTTTAACTGGTCGAATAGAAAAACGCGTAATGATGTAGTAGAACTTTCTTATAGTTCATGGAAGTTCATGTGCCAAGTTCAGTCTTAATTACATTAAGCTAATTCGTCCAGAATGAAAGAAATATTAACATTTTTTTATTTATGAGAGATCTATAACACAAAATGCGAATGAGTCAAAAAGCTTTTAGAATTCCCACTTCAAAAGAGAGAGAGTAAATGCATCAGAATATTGTAAATAGGTACAATGAAGAAGAAATGAAATTAATCTCCCCATAATGCATACAAAAGATACCATTCTATGTACAAAGTTATTAAATAATCCCAGTACATAATACCTATTGTTGAGAGATAATGTTTACCCATAATCTGTATTGAAAAGCGGCAGAGCATAGATTCAATCCGTTGGCCTGAACACAAGTATCGCATTAACACACCTCTTTCATATTCATAGCCATGGGCTTATCGAAAAAAAAAATGAAAATGGATTTTTATTCAAGATTTGTAGACATAAGCCGATGACCCATATGAATGACTGATATTTTATTCAGCTTCCGATCAAAATCATTTTATTTTACACAGTTTATTCGCCTATAGGAACTATTCATTCAGTAGGTGCTTCTATATTTCCCAGCTAGTTTTCCGTTCGGGTAAATTCTCAATTGCCCTATTTCCATGGAAATTCC